AATATCTAAAGAAGCAAGTTATGAAACAGACAACATAGACCTTTATAATCACGAGGAAGTACATACATCAGGAGAAGTAATCGATTCACCCACATTAAACGAACTACTGTTTGTTGACGACCAGTGCTTGTTCTACCCTGGAGACCATAGACTGCAAGACCACATTAACAGGTTAAACTCAGCATGCAGTAAATACAACATGAAGATCAATGAAGTATGATCACAGAGGATGGTAGAATTGACAGAGAAATAGAAACCAGATGTCAGAAAGCAAGTGCACTTATATACCAATTGTCACCATTATTAAGACATCCAAGCATAAACTATGAGTGCAAAGAGACAGATTATTAATAGCATATTCTATTCCAGCATTAATCTACCAGTGCCAAACATGGACACTGTCTAAAGCCCATATACGCAAAATTACCCACCTGAAGAGATGAGGTGCTTGAGAAAAGCAGCCAACCTAACCATCCGAGATCGAGTGAATAATGAAAAACTATCAGGGCAAATTGTGGGGACAACACCTTGTACTAGATTCATCGAGAAACAGCAGATCAAGTGGTTTGGCCATCTCGTTAGAATGCAGCAAGATCAAATACCATTACAAGCTCTACATTTCAGAAGATCAACTACAAGAGCAAGAGGAGGACCACGGAAAACATGGATCGACAACATTAAAGACACTCTACGCCTTCACGGCATGACAATAGCCAGTGGCAGCCAACGTGCACTGGATCGCAAATTATTCCTCCCCACGCCGCTTAACGGCAGAAGGGGTTCTTGATGATCTATCATATAGGTGAAGAAAAGGAGCCCTGGATATATAGTGTTAGACTCAGTCATGGTTTTAGGCATAAGCTAAACAAGCTACAGCTTAGGCAAATTTTCGTTATTATAAAAATGCACCCTGGCTGTAGTTGGGGCCCTTAATATAACCTAATGGTTAAACGGGGTTTCTGGAACCTCTCCCTTGGTCATGCTCATTCTCGTGGTGGCACTTTGTGTCACCGGGATTTTATTGCTTGGTGGATGTCCTGGTGGGGTTGATTCTAATTCATTCACTCATTATAACCGCCAATTAACAGTCCGTTTCAATGTCGGACGAAATTTTGTTGTTGTTTTAAAGCCCCAGCCTGGCTGTTGTCAGGGGTCCTAATATAACCCCACCTATGGATCGAACGGGGTTTTTGGGACCTGTCCCCGTGTGATCCTCATCCTAATGGTGGCACTTTGTGTCATCAGGTGTTTATCGCTCGACGTGACGTTCAGGTGGGGTTGAACGTCATCACCACCTGAATTAAAATGTGTCTTTTACATTCGCTGAGTCCCAGTTTCTTGCCGTTTTGAAGCTCCACCTCAGCTCAACCTATGGATTGAACGGGTTTTCTGGAACCTGTCTCTGGGTGATTCTCATACTAGTGGTGGCACTCATTATCATCCTTTTATGACCGTCATCCGCACACAATAAATGTCCACCCTTCTAGATGAGGCGCTTAGTCTACATATAATAATTAAATTTGTCAAGTTTCAGTCAGATTCTTGTACAAATACCAAAGTTAGGATATTTTTTTAAAGTTTTAATTTGTACATTGCGGCTGCCATATTGGATAACCAATTGACATAATTAATGAGCCCAGTGTGTTAAAAACAAATATGAGTCCATACCAACACTACAAACATAAATGCTTAATTCTGCGGTAAAAATTAAGAGTTGCTGACCATAGTACAGAGCGAGTGGAAGACCTAGGAAAATATGGAGTTATGGCATTAAGAACAGCCTTACAGAAATGAACATCAGTCTTAATAGTTCTCTTGACAGAGCTCATCAACGAACATTACATCTCCCCCGACACTTCGATGAGGTACAAGGTGAAAGAGAATAAGAAGAAGAAGACCATTTTTTGTACCCTACCACCTTAAACAAACAATCCCACTCGATGCGGATTTGAGCCCACGACCCTAGCGCTGGAGGGAAGCGTCTAACCTCTCCCTATTATCCCACAAGAAGATATTGTATTTTTCTATATGCCCACAAATCTGTCTTCTACCCATCTACCTGTCCGTTCATTTGATCTTATGGCCGTCCGTTTGACACCCAGCTATTCGTCATTTATTCATCCATACACACGTTCATCCATATATCCACCTATGCATCCATCCATCCGTCCATCCATTCATCCATCAGAGGATACATCAGTTTGTCCGTCCTTCTATTACATTCACCACAGTACTGTTGATTGACCTTCGCTTCGTGCAAACCTCTCTGATTAAGCACAGCAGGAGATAATGGGGCCTGGCGTCATGACCTAGGTTGGCCTACCCTCCGAGATTGTTTAGGATGGTAAAGGGCCAAAACAATTGTCAACGGAGGATCTTCTACTGATGACCGGCAGACCTCTGCTGTATATGCTGCCCTGTGGAGTTTTCTTATTATTATTCATCCATCCATCAGCCTGTCTAATCAATCATCCCTTCGCTAGTTATTATTTCTCTCAACGACAATAACAAGAAGCTAAACTATATTAAGTTGCAGTGCAGTTACTCTACTTACCGGAGCTTCATTCGGTGTGTGGTGTCGTTTGGGAATGCAGGAGACAAAGAACTTGACCTCCTTCCTGGAGATATGCTGGTTGTAGAATGGCGAGTCGGATACGATGATCATGAAGAGAAGAGCGATGATCAACCCTAGACCAGCTGTAGAAACATACGACATATTCTGAATGTTATGTGACCCATCTGGAATGTCTTGCCTGATTGAAGAATGCGTTTTCTTATTTTTAGAGCTATGCCGGCGATAGCGTAGCTAACAGAAGGGCTTCCCAAGCCGGACCGGTCAAAGGATAGAGAACAGACAAATAGAGACAATCTTTTTCTCCAGGTTGGGACTGAAGCGTGTGGCTTACGGCCCACGTATTGAAAAATGGCACTTACGCAAGAACCATATACTTAAGCCTGGATTTCCCTCAAAGATGAGCTGAGGCGGGTGATATCTGTAGCATGAACGTCAAAGGCTCGGAACGTTTAAAAAAAAAAAAAAAGGCTGAACAAGAAACACATGAGTGGAGGGAGTAAAGGCGACTTTACAGAAACGCAGTATAAACATTAACACAAGCTACACAACTAGCAAAAGGCAGGAAGTTATATACAATTCCTCTCTGTGACGCTTTGCGGTACAATCAGACGAAAATCGTCGACAGTAGAAGCTAGCTATACGACTAGTTTCTTTCCGTAAAGCTGTTGCAGAGGGTGGGCCAGATATCGACAACATAAGGTAGATAGATCTTCATGCTACATAGACAGAGAGCAATTGTAGTGTAGCGGCTAGCCACTCGTTTTGGGGTTGAAAGTCGTGGGTTTGAATCTGCAGCAAGGTGAATTTTTTTTTCGAAAAATGATTTTGGCTTTCATTTTAGGTACCAGGTAAACTCCTGGGAAGTAAAAGCGACCTGTGTAGTGTTGACTACATCATCCATTGAGTTCCGATTGGTCTAATAAAATATGAGTCTAACATTACATGCCAACTGCGCCACTGGTATAAAAATGGTCCTTTATTTTACTGCTGACTTACTATTTTGTAGACTTTCCGCGAACCGAAGATCGATCGAACCCACGCTGTAGATTATTTTACGATAACACACGACTGATCTTACACAAGATGAAGATGATTTTACAATAAAAGACTCTTTTTTTTTTTTTTTTTGAAGATGCAGATTATTTTTACAGTATAAGTCTGTGTCTTACCCAAGATATAGAAGACAAATGGCCAACCCTCCTGAATGTCTATCTCACAGGCCAGCAGTGACACGGCGTAAGACAACACGTTCCCTAGCTCCATCCCTAGAGACGAGAAACATTGTTATTGCGTGAATGTTATACCCTAACTGTACGGTTATTGTCACTTTTACTTAAACATTGTAAAAAGATTTCTTTTCGACTACTAATGTCGCTGTGTCAGCGTCTGTGGCTTAGGCGTTGCGAACGCGCTTCGTAATGCCGGGGTGCCGAGTTTGATCCCAGCTGCGGACGATTTGTCTTGCGCTGGTTTCGACAGTGGCACCGAGAGCTGACCGTTCAGTAGCAATGACAAACTACTGAACGTAAAATTTGCCTAGAAAAACCACAACAGCAAAAAAAAAAAAAAAGAAAAGAAAAAAAAAATGCTGGAGTTGGTTCTGCAACGTCCTGTAAAGGATAAGCGACTAACATTTTAAAATGTTAATTTTGATGTCTCATTATTGGGTGGCGTTCAAACCTATCAGGACTTCGCACAATAAACGACACAAAGTGCCATCATTCGGATCAGAATCCCCCAGTCACAAGACACACAGAAAGCCCATTTAACCGTTCGGTTTTTTAGGACCCTTGATAACAACCGGAAATGGGCTTTGGAATTTAAAAAAAAAAAAAGCAAAATATGTGTTGTTTATTGGGGTCTCATTTTTGTACCTTTGTTGTATCATTACTGTCTGTTTTTTAATTATTGTCTCTTTTTGTTTCATCATTACAGTGCTTCTATTGTATATTGGTCTCCTTGTTTTATCATTATTGTCGCTTTGTTGTATCACAGATGTCTCTTTACTGCAGCATTATTGTCTTTTGTGTGCACCATTATTGTTCTTTGTTAGAGTATATAGTCCTTTTGTTGTGTCATTATTGCTCGTTGTGTGTCATTATCGTCTCTTTGTTGTATCATTATTGATACTTGTTGTTTCATACTATAATAATCACTATCCTTTTGTTCTATGATTATTATCTCCGACTTTAGCAATCGTGGAATAGATGGATAGAACGAAAGAGACTGGAAGGAATAAACAAGTTTACAACCAACCTACCCATGCCGACTATCCCAAAGAGAAGGCTGGTTTCATGCCTAGGAGCCCACTGACCAGCCAGGGCAAATGTTGGCGCATAGAGGAACCCCTGGGGAGAAACAAACACTTGGTTTAATTAACATCGACATTTACATGAGAACATTGATGTCAATGTCCAGTGTCCATAGGCGTCGACAATCATGCTTCGCCGTGTCACACGATCGCTAGATTCACGGATTATGTCTGTGTTCTGTCCTATAACATCCTTGTGTCCAGATATCCAGATATTATACACTGAAACCTCTGTGTGGGGACTAAATTCGCCAGAAAAGTTGTTCGGAAACCGACTAGTTCGACGAGACTGGTACAATTAAAGGGATGTCCAAGTGGAGTGAAAGCGATGCATAAATAAACTGACAATAAAGGAATTTGACCCAAAACTGCCAGTCCTGCCTGTATTGGAAGCCGCCATGGCGTAGCAGCTAGAAGGTCATTTTTTTAAATGACTTTGGCTGCCGGATCGATCTAGTATTGAGTGGGCCCTAGGTATAGTCCTGGGAAGTAAAGGCGACCTGTGTCACGTTGATCACATCACCCACCGAGGTCAGAATTGTATATAAAATATAAGTCTGGCCTTGTATACCCAGTACGTCTAAAAGAGTGGAAGAGCAATCACTGTCTGTTTTGACCACTTTTGCTGTGTAGACAGGGGAGTCTTTGAGCCTGAGGATTTAGTGCCCTATGGTCAGTGCAGTCACCCTGGGTTGTGCAGGTCAGCCCCCCTCCCCACAAATAAATCTGGAACGTTAGTGAGGATTTAAGTTTGGGTCTCCCGCTGCCTCACCAGTTTGACCAACGGTACTTCTAACAAAGAATCTACACCGGCCTAGCAATAGAACTTGGCAACCACAGAAAGAAAGGTATGAAGAATACATGAACCTTGTCAAAGCTGTGAGTTTATGACACTAACCCCCTGCTCCCTCCCCCTTCCCCCATACGTTTATTGACCAGGTTTTCGCAAGCCATGTTTAGGGACAGCTAGTCCATACTCAATAGCCCTTCAAGCGTTATGATGCCCATTCTGTGCTGACTCATCATCATCATAATCAGAAACCACTTCTGCCATTAAGAGTTGTGGAGAGAAATAATTTGTGATCCAGTGCACGCTTGCTGGCCTAGATATCGTCATACCGTAAAGGCGCATTGTTCTTTAATGTTGTTGATCCATTTTTTGTCGACCCGTACTCTTGATCTTGGGTCTGATCTTCTGAGACGCCCCTGATGGTATCTTATGTTGGTGTATTCTAACGAGTTGACCAAACCACATGATCTGCTGTTTCTCAATGTATCCAGGACAAGGTGTTGTTCCCACAATCTGTTCATTATTCATTCGATCTCGGATGGTTAGGCTGCCGGGTTTTCTTAGGCATCTTTTTCGCAAACATTTTGTTGCCTTGGTGAAAGGTTCATTTCTTGGGGCTCCAGACTGCATACCCATGTCCATCAGCTTGGATATGAATACGAATTCATGCCTGTTGCCGTATTCGTGGTAAGCGCCGCGCATGACACTGATGTCAAAGAGAAGGAGGGGATGCACATTATGGTGGATTTTAACTATAAGAAGTTAAAAAAAAAAGTAAAGGACTCTTTTCCACGTCTTTAGGCTTGACCTATGTTTTATAGAATAATCGGCACAAGATGGGTGATGTGGTCAGCATCACGCCGGTCGCCTTTACTTCCCGGGACTGCATCCGGTACCCACTCAAGGCTGGGTTGACCTAGGAGCCAAGGTCCGGGTTCGTCTATGAGCGAATCCACGACTATTCGATCCTTACTGGATGTCGAACTGTGGTCTACCTGGGGTCTAACTATAGGAAGGCTTGTAATATTCAGCTTGCAAACAAACAGCGACTACACCCTGAGATGGTAGACTTCTGTGAGCTACGTACGTCTATGATCCCAACAATGACTCTGTCAGCATAGAGCCAGCCGATGCCGTAGTGAGCCGCTGGGACGGCCAGGCCTTGGAACAACGACACCAGTATCAGGCTGATCACCACCACCTTCTTAGGACCGAACCTGAAACAGACGGAGTGTGTGAAATACTGGAAACTTAAATAGATGGAGCATGTGAAATACCTGAATGGGAAATAGATGGAGTATGTGAAATACTGTAATCTGAAATAGAAGTATGTGAAATACTGGAATGTGAAATAAAAGGAGTATGTGAAATACTGGAATCTGAAATAGGAGGAGTTTGTGAAATACTGGAATGTGAAATAGATAATGTGAAATACTGGAACTGAAATAGACGGAGTGTGTGAAATACTAGAATCTGAAATAGATGGCGTATGTGAAATAATGGAATCTGAAATAGATGGAGCATGCAAAATACTGGAATCTGGAATAGATGGAGTTTGTGAAATAGTGGAATCTTAAACATATGGAGTATATGAAATACTGGAATCTGAAACAGGTGGAGTATTTGAAATATTGGAAACTGAATTAGATGGAATGTGTGAAAGACTGGATTGCAAAATTGACGGACTATGTGAAATAGTGGAATGTGAAATAGAGGGATTATGTGAAATACTGGAACCTAAAATGGTTGGGATATGTGCAATACTGGAATCTGAAATGATGCAATATGTGGATTGCTAGAACGTGAAATGGATGGAGTGTGTGAAATTGTTGCAATTTTTGAATTATTTGAGTGTGAAATAATTGAATTTTAAAAACAATATTTGAACGTGAAATGTAAAGATTGTGTGAAAGATAACAATATAAATACACGAGTTCTGTGAAATATAGGATTACGAAACGATGGAATAAGTTAAATTTAGGAAGGAAACATATTTGTATCATGTGAAATACTACAGTGTGAAATATAAAAATAATGGTTACATATATCCAATAAACGGCGTGATGCTGACAACATCCTCCATCTTGTACCGATTGGTCTATAAAATATAGGTCTAGCCCTATATGCCATATAAGCCTAAGGGCGTGGAAAGGGTCTTTTACTATACTTATATCCAATAAAATGGGCAGCTTAAAAATAGTTATCGAAAAGTTCTTACCGACATTAAAGAGGAATTAAACAGTCGGGACGAATACTTAAAGGAAAGCTGATTACTCTAGTCCCAACAGATCCCGCAAATATAAGAACTACATTTGAACTGTTAGAAACAATTTTAGAAGAAGTCATTAACGAAGCTATTAAACGTCAAAAGAATATGAACAATACTTGTACAAATGGCACGCCAGCAAAAGTCACCCTAACAACAACCGAATTAGGCACAAATTATTTTGCAGTCTGGTCGACTGAAGAAACCGCAGTCAACTAGAAAGAAAGATATATGATGAAGTTGTCAACAACAAAAAAAAAAAAAATCTGTACAAATATAAAAAGGTATAATTTAATTGAAAGTTGTTAGGAAATATTAAGACACAAGTCTCCTGTATTTAAAAAAAAAAAGTGAAGTTTTATTCTGAATACGGGAAAGTGGAGTGTGTTCCCTGAAGGTGACCGAAATATTCTGAACACACAGACATACACACACACACACACACACACACACACACACACTCTCTCTCTCTCTCTCTCTCTCTCTCTCTCTCTCTCTCTCTCTCTCTCTCTCTCTCTCTCTCTCTCTGTTTACCCGAAAGATAAGTTATTTAAATAAATTTTATCTCAGCCCCCAATCCTTGCTCTGCATCGATGGCTGGTCTCCTATATCCTATGCTTTCTGCAAAATTAGCGTTATGATTATGAGTTAGGATTTGTGTTTTCTTCGCGGCACTCCCAGACACGTCCATAGGTGCTCAGATTCTCTCTTCAACACATACATCAGCGTCCCAGTATTGACAGTCCCAGTCCTATGTCGGCGGACAAGACTTCTCGTTCATCTGGTGTGCTTCTCGTGACTGGCTGTGCCGATCTTTACTCTAAATTCTTGCACTCTTAGCAAAGATGTGGAAGTGTTGCTTCCAGAATTCTCCGAACGTCCTACCTTGTCTAATGGCATATCAATGTCGGTATGATTCCTGGGCTGGTACTCTGTAACTAAGGCAGAGCCGACTAATCTGTCGGCTCTTTCACTGCCAACAACACCGGCATGTCAGTGTTTTCGTGCGGATAGTTTCAATAACTGCATGCTGTAACAACACTCACAGAACTGTAAAGAAAAAGCAAGACTTGCTTACCTGGCGGCCGCGATAGAGGAAGGAATCTGGGAGATGTAATAGCCCATGAAAAATGTGGAAATGGCCAGTGCCTGGTCAGTCTTGTCCCACCTGAACAACCACTCCTGCAAACAAGATGTGTGTTTCAGTTAGTTTGCTGGTTGCATGCGCCTGATTGACATGTTTCAGTAAATTCATTTCCAGCATGTTTATAGCAACTCTAATTGGCTGTACGCGACATGGGCGAAGATGGTCTACTGTCATTATAAGGAATTACTTATATCTCCTATCTCGCAGGTGGGTTATTTGGCAATCGCTTATATAAAAGTGTAATGAATATAAAAAGGTAGCCCTTGCTATTTTGACGAGTAGTGTGTGTGTGTGTGTATGTGTGTGTGTGTGTGTGTGTGTATAATAATCGTAGGAAAGAAATCATAAAAATCATCAACATCTTCATCATCACCGCCACCATCATCAGCATCATCGTCTGTGACCACACAGGATTTTTAACTTGATTCAAGTTGTAAATGACAGTTGCGTCTCGCTGGAGATACACGGGTACTTAAACACACAGCCAACGACAGTCTAAAATAATGTTTTCATTCACCATTCCTTTCACCCACAAGAACTAATTACAATGGAAATTAGACAGAATTAGTTTTTAACCACTGAAATTACACCTCAGGTTTCACAACTGTTTACTGATCAATCATGTGTTTATAAGAAACACACAACCCACTCTAGAATATAACAAACATTTAGAGAAGTGCCGTGGGTTCCTGTGATATTCTCTAAAGTCGACCAGCCGCTTTGCAGAGAGAGAGAGAGAGAGAGAGAGAGAGAGAGAGAGAGAGAGAGAGAGAGAGAGAGAGAGAGAGACAGACAGACAGACAGACAGACAGACAGACAGACAGACAGACAGACAGACAGACAGACAGACAGACAGACAGACAGACAGACAGACAGACAGACAGACAGACAGACAGACAGACAGACAGACAGACAGACAGACAGACAGACAGACAGACAGACAGACAGACAGACAGACAGACAGACAGACAGACAGACAGACAGACAGACAGACAGACAGACAGACAGACAGACAGACAGACAGACAGACAGACAGACAGACAGACAGACAGACAGACAGACAGACAGACAGACAGACAGACAGACAGACAGACAGACAGACAGACAGACAGACAGACAGACAGACAGACAGACAGACAGACAGACAGACAGACATAGAGCTGATATCAAACGATGTCCGATGAAGTAGATCCCTTTACTTAAAGTGAGCTTATTTGCTGGGTGCAAGCAAACTGGAGTTAAACTGCAAGAAAACATACACTGTGGCCATAACCAACAGGCAGGAAATACCAAAGTGTTCATTACACGCAGATGGCAAAATTCTTTAGAAAGTGAATAGGTACAACTGCTTTGGGACAGACATAACATCTGATGCAAACTGTCTTGCAGAAATTAAAACAAGAATCGCCACACAAGTGGCTTCTAGTGAGGAGCGTAAGATATTAATAATAAGATGTCAACTGCATTGAGGAAAAGTGCTAAAGTGATACATAGAGCCTGTACTGTTACATTCAAGTAATACATGGACAATACGCTGACAAGCTGAAAAACATTTGCAGGCAGCTGAGACGTGGTTTTGGGAACAATGCAGAGAGTATCGTGGAAGGATTTTGAAAAAAAACAAGGCAGTCCTCGAGAGAGACACGAAAGTCTGTGTTTTTCTACCTTGCTATGAGAAGAAATGAGCTGGAAAACTGGGTAGCAAATGGCAAGATTGATGGAAAGCGAGGAAGAGGAAGGCAACAAGAAAAAACGTCTGGATGGCTTAGCCATATGCCGTTGGTGACGCCCACATGCGGATTCTCATGACTCCGGTGATCGTGTGGGAGGGCGAAAATTTAGAGCCTATGCGTATGCTTACCAGCACATGATGATCATGATGATGAGGACCAAGGTGATGATGATGATTTACGGGGTTTAAATGGCGTCGATTCTAGTCAATCGTTCAACTAAATCCCCCAACATTGCCAGACAAATACATTAACCCACGACTTGCCTCTGAATGATCATCCGTCCCGTTATTTGTGGTAAAGTTGAAAACACCATTGGTCATATTTTCTGTAGTCAGGTTGTCATAGAAACCCGTTTCCGGAAGGAAGTCCCTGTCGTCAATCATGCACACCATGGCGGCGCTGAGACTGGCTTGTGCTGCGTAGGTAATGGTCATCGACAGTGTGCAGCAGACGATGACCAGCAAGCGGTAGGAGCCACAGACCGGAACTGTCAAACATGGGGCAATTTTTTTCTTCTTTCAATTTAGGTATGTCATCATTACTATGGTATACCAGTCAAAAATGAAAGGCATTATAAGAAATTAATACCATAATACGATGTGCCTATGGTCGCGGCAGCCAGAAGAGCTAGAAACAGAACCTTATATCTCCCTCGACACCCACAGCGGTAAAAGAGGAAGTGAAGAATGAGAAGAATACCATAGTTTAGAATGAGCGCACTGTAAATGGTCTAAGTGGCCAGGTTTGGGTGGCAACTGAAGTGAAACAAAGCTGCATTCTATCTCACTTGTTGTTTAGAGTCGTCATTGATTGGGTAATTTTAAAAAAATGTTGCAAAGGGAATATTTACACTAACTCTGTCGAGAATAAACAACTGGAAGATCTGGATTTTACAAATGATTTTGTTCTGTTAAGTAAAAATAACAAAGACATGAAAAATTAATTTAAAAAAAAAAGACGATTTGAAATAAAGGATCTGTAGCATTTAAAAAAAAAGATTACACATAAGTGGTCAGAAAACAAATATTTTAAAGATACCAACAGATCATATAGATGTCACACTAGAGAACAAACTAATAAACGTAACGGACTATTTCACCCATCTGGCCTAGTAATTGTGACTCTCAAGGAGATACGATGAAGGAAATTATGATACACACTGGCAGAGTAATAACAGTCTTTAGAAGCCTTAACAAAATATGGAGCTCCAATAAATATATAAATAAGGTATTTTGTAGTGACTATGTTTTAAAAATGTTGACGATCCTATTTAGGCAATCACCGTCTGTGGAGTTAATGCAACATCAACTGCTACAGTGTGTCTTATTTTGGATTTTGTTCTACACATTACAGCTCTGTTTCACAACCGATTCTATTGGTTGAAATTCTAACAGTATTAGGATGAGGCATTTGAGTATCAGGAAATGAGATAATAAATTGTTGAACAACCACATTTGAATACCTGCCACCGTTAGGAAACGCACCTTGAACCAAAAATACTCTTTCTTCAATAGTTAACACCATTATAGCTAAGATCAGTGCTAACGAAATCTTGGTCCAAGAAGCAGCAAAATTAAGTTAATCTACATCTGAACGTTAGAGGAAAATAAAAAGTGGCTTATGAACAGTAACACTGAAAGACTGGCATCATTTCCCCCCTGACTGAATCGACCTAATTAATTGCACCGGATATTCCCATATAGTTCGGCCCTTCTCAACAGAATGGCTAAGCGCCTGTAGTAAGTGTCACAGTTAGCACAAACTCCGTAACTCTAGCGGTGATCCCCAGTGATCTCTATGAAACCTCACCGGTGAACAGAAAGACGCATCCATGAATCGAACCACAACCTTCAGAACGCCATGCAAAAAAGTTTGCCCACTTAAAGAATCCCAAACTCAACCCGTGAACAGCCTTTACCGCAAATATTTCCCACATTCATATTTTGTTCTCTGTATCTTACCTTCTGTGATCTCTTTGGCATTCTCGTAATCGTTGTCTTCATCTACAGCTTGTTTTATTGCCAGGGCGTCCGTTTCCAAGAGATGTTTTCTTTCGTTGCTGGTCATTTTAGTGATACAGTTGTAGTTTTTGTGTTATCTGGATTTTTAAAGGTCTGTAGATGACACAAAGGCAATGATGAACTTATATCCTGTTTACATTTTCATTTCAAAAATCGTGAGGGCGGCTAAGAGATTGTGCTGGTTTGGGCATATAGAGAGGATGGCATAAAACAGAGAGATTAAAAATGTGGGTACCCAGAGGGAGTGAGCGGGTGTAGACCACGAGGCAGACCAAGAAGACGGTGGACAGATAATATGCAGACAAACGTACAAACACCGGAAGTCACAAACTAGAAAAAGACGACCATTAGTGAGATAAACGGAGGCATGTGATGACTGCAGCAATGAATCCCACGGGCTGGGAATACTGAAGAAGAAGACGATATACATGGCATTTCATTTACCTGCCTGCACACAAAATAGCATGATTCATAAATTAAAAAGTACTCACGAAGAGAATTGATTGCCCACACCAGAAAGAGACAGTATACATTCTTTGGCCATGTGATGAGAAGGAGAAAACTGGAGTACATTGTGACAGTAGGAAAGTTGGAGGTGAGGAGAGGCAGACGGAGACCGAGAGAAAAGATGCTGGACAGTTTGACATCATGGCATGCAGGATGATCTGTGTCAGAGGGGATGAAAGTACACGAGACAGGAGGTTGTGGATAGACATGACTACCAACGCCACACAGCGTGGAATTTAAGAAGAAAAAGAATTGCCATTCTCAAATGTTTCCCTTTCAACAACATAGGAAATGATTCCACACTTTATGCTGTCGTGCCAAACGAACAATGTAGAGACAGGAACAGAAGATAACTACATGAGACGTGTTCTGTCTCCGAAAGATTATCTTCTTCTTTGTAGCATTTACCGGCTTTAAACTCCGGGGGAAAGTTCCAGTTGTTCGTCCACTTCTTGACTTAGGTCATGTCACAGAACTTGAATTGTGTATGCTCAATCGTTTCACAGTTCTGGCTGTTTTGTATACAGACTGTTCGTACCTTGAATCTCAGGCGGATGCTCTCCAACTTCGAAGGAGAACCATCAAGACAACATTGGGACAGGGTCGCAAATACCAGTATTAGAGAGACGTTCTGAAAAAGATCGTGCCTGCAATCCACTGAAAAACACAGAATGAAGTCTTATGGCTATATATTAGGAATGCAGCCGGAGTAAACTGTTTGTACTGTATATGAGACCTTCCACAAAAAGAATATCTGAGCGAATGTCGACAGAAAGTCCAAGGAAGAGATGGATAGACGGCGTAGGTGAATCCTGCAAACAGATGAACAAAACCAGCACTCAAGCCATACAGGAAGCTAAAGACATACACAAAAACCACGAGCTGGACTACAGAAGGACAACAGTGAGGCGACAAAAAAAAAAAAATATGAGCCATATATCAGCATTGGAAGATGGAACAAACGTAGAATTTGAGCTTTTAGCTAATAATAATAATAATAATAATAATAATAATAATAATAATAATAATAATAATAATAATAATAATAATAATAATAATAATAATAATAATAACAACAATAACAACAACAAAAACAATAATCAGGACTTTTTCCTGGCTGTACACAATACCGTTTCCTATTTATGAGCTTAATTTTTCCAATACTTTAGAGTCGGGGTGTTTCGAACACTCTCCGTAACTCTGAAACGCCGGGTTAAAGATGCGGGAGATTTGGCAGTAGGCAGCCGTGTACTGGATTGGACAGGTGTATCCAGAGCCGACCGTTCATTAAGCAATGGCTACTGAACATACTGCCTGATGAAATCACAAAAATAGCCAACAAATGCTGGAGGGTTGGTTCCGCTGCAAAGAACATGCAACTCACTTTAGAACTTTAGCTGTAATAGACTCTTGGTAGTGAGTACCGGCACCTTGTTTAAGACATTTTTTAGTGAATGCCAGTACCTTCTTATCATTAAAAAAAATTACAAAAAAAGAATAAATGAACGAATGAAGCTAAACCCAACAAGGTCCACACAACGAACGATACAAATCGGGTGACACAAAGTCATATTAGGGACCCCAACTATAGCTGGGGTGGGCTTTACACTAACGAAAACTTTCGTCCCAAATAGGATGGTTAAATTTTAG